TGTACCAGAAGAGAGCTTGTTTTACAAATGGCGTCCCTTCTGAGCCATGGATGCTGCCCCAGAGCTCTACAGGCCCGGCGTTGCCTGCCATGACTGCGGAATGCGTTTCTGAGTGTGTGATGCAGCTTCCAGCAACCATGGAACGTGGTCTTTAGCTGAGTGTTCGGTCCGTGGTGCTGCGCCCAGCTGACGCTAGCTATCAGCTTGGTTGTGAGAGGAGACCACGTTTGGTTTAGGTTGCAGACTGGCTGGACTGCAGCAGAGTTTAGGGTCGGACATTTTTATTTAGAGTGCTGGTAAACTGACGGTCCTCCATTTTCATTCGGGGGGGCACCTAATTTTTAGGATAGGCTGGGAGGTCGTATGCTAGATAATTCCGTTTTTTCAGAGCCGTCCGATGGACCCCCGGGCACTTTGGACCGGAAGATAGCCCTGAAAAACCAGAGCTCAACCCCACTCAAAAGGGGAGTTTTTGGCTGCTTTTGGCAGTTTTACGGCTACCGAGGACCATTTCAGGGTTATTTTACCTTTCCGAATTTTCACTTTCCGAATGGGAAATCCGAATTTCTGACTTTCTGAACGCAGATAATTATTTATTTATTCGGAATCATCACGTTGGACTACGGTAGACACAAGCTACCTATGGTGGGTACCGGCCGAGTCGATTCCGACTCCGACCGCCACGAAATCGACTTATCGCGAATCGAATATCGTCAGTATTACCGGCGGTTCGCGTCACGGCGACTCAGGTTTATGTTACTCGGGCGGTACAAGTACTGACAAGATTTTGCTGGGCCGTAAGTGACTGTGAGGAAGTCGATAGACAGTGTCATATTTTACACTTTGAGAGCAGCATCAAATTGGCACGCAAAGAAGAGCCCTATGCAGCTTAAAAAACCCTCTGACAAGCAAAAAAAAATGTTGGGAGAGCGTCATGGAGGCTCCTTTGAAGGTCCAGCATCATGTTATGTTGAGGACAAATCGGAACAAGCACCATGATAGATCGATTGCTTATGATCGACTTCCTTGGCATACACACGGTTTATTGTTTGAGCTTTGGATATCCGAGTCTAGCTACCCTACCGGCCGAATCTGACTCGTGCATGCTGCCCTATAGACCAACTTATAGCCTATAGCAACAGCCTATCACCGTTACGTTCAGCGAACCACGCGAGCATGACTACTACACTATCGGATGTAGCAACAGACAGGCAGATCGTCGGAGCTATGGTTGCACTATAGTAATAGCTATAGCCGGGGGCATGGTCTCGGAAGGGATGTAGACCGCGCAGAAGCACGCATACTAACTCAGCTCACTTGCAGGGCATCGAGGTACATGTGCATCATGATTCAAACGCACGTGAGGATTGGAGGTATGTAGTATGTTTGAATGATGACAGCCCAACCCAAGTACGCAACAAGTGCGCACTAATTATAAGCATCATTGTTCTTGTGGGTATAGCAGGCCCGCGTGGCACATGTTGAGGGATGTGTAAGTTTTGGCCGCGCAGGCCTCGGCGTCGATCATGCAGAGCGTCTTCTTTTAGTACGGCAATGACATGTTAAGCGGTAATACGAAAGTTTATTGATCAGCAACACGTACTCCTTGGATGAGCGTGGGCACAGCCTTCGTTCACCCGAAAGTAACGGCCGACAAGCCGCCGAGCTGGCTTCAATGAGAACTTATCCCATCTTTCAATGCATCCTCACATGCACGAGTCATAATCCCGAGACTAGGGTAAGCAGATTACCGGTTTGTCTGCCATCCGTACTTTTCCATCGACTCCATACTCGACGGGCATCATGCGGCCTCGGGATTGCACAATTGTGTGCTGGAATCTCACGAGCACGCCAGCTTCTTGCCAACCTTTCCTGCTGGAAGCAATCGTGTCCAACATCTGATTCAAATCTCCAAGAGTAGTCCAAAATTATGCTTTCGGAAATCCAATCACAATTATATACAGTGACATCAACAATACACGCGCATACTTTATCCATCGGCTGGTGCTTCCAAGCACGGTTGGCCAACAAAGATCACGGTGTCGTGGCCCTTGCGCAGCCCCCGGCTGTGCGGCCTCCTCGGACACTGCCTCCCCCGGCCTGTCTGTTCCCCCCCCTGCGCGTCCCCAATAAATACGCGCGGGTCCCTCCATGCGCCTCTGGCGGGCGCGTTAGACGCAGCCCTGGCTGAGCATCGCCTCCGCGACCTTGACGAAGCCTGCGATGTTGGCCCCCGCCTGCAGCGCCCTGCACACCGAAACACCGCCGCACCCAATCAGCGCCGCACATCCACGTGGCCCGCCCACGGGGCTCCAGACAGGCATGCAAGGTGGGGGCGGCCTGGCACATGCTGCACCGCACGCGCGCTTGGTTGAGTGGCGCGGGGGGCTCACCCGGGGTCGGTGGCGGCCATGCCGTACTCCTGCGCAGCCGCCATGGACTCGGTGTAGATGCTCCGCATGATGCCCTGCACCGCAACCAGACCCGCACCGTCAGCAGCCGACCCGCACACGACATCGACCTGGCAAGCACAGCGTCACGCAGTGCCCCGGCAGGCCGTGGCTGGCCGGGGGCCCCGGGCCAACAATCGGGAAGCCAAGGCGGCCGCGGCAGGGGTGGGTACGGCCGCAGGGGGTGAGAGCGGCCCGGCAGCGTACCTGCAACTTGTCGTCGACCTCCTCCTTAGACCTGCGGCAGGGGGCGGCGCGTGAGCAGGCGGACACAGAGGGGCACGGCCGGGCAGCAGCACGGGCGGCCGAGAGGGAGGGCTGCCCGCGGGCAGGGGCAGCGAAGGGACTGCGAGGGGCAGAGGCGGACACGGCGGGCGGCAGCGGGGCACGGAAGGGGGGCGGAGGCGCGGGCTTACCAGGGGAAGCGCTGGCTGTTCTGCGCCATCTCGAGGCCCGACACCGCCACCCCGCCTGCACACACGACGGGCAAGGGCAGATTAAGTTAGGGCCTGCCCCAAACTGGTCGTCAAAACAGAGCTCGAATGAAATGCTCTTTCCTTTCGAATGAGGAAAGAAAGTTTGCACATGAATAGTCCAACAGACCACTCGTCTCAGCGAGCCGGAAGGAGTATCGTATGGGGCGTCGCAACTGGGTTGTCCGAGCACACTTCTGGTCGGGACGTGGACCCGACAGAACATGGCACGCAGCCCGAGTCCGCCCCTAATCAGCAGCGCTGTCGAGAGTGCGGGACACGGGGAGACGAGGTGCGCGGCTCACCCGCGTTGGCGGCCTTGGCGGGGCCGTAGACGACGCCGGCGCGCAGGTACACCGCAATCGCCTCCGCAGTGGACGGCATGTTGGCGCCTGCACACACAGCAACGCTCCCGAAGTCAGGCCAGCGCGGAGCAGTACCGGCGCAGCCGGCAGGGCATGGCAGCAGCGGCGGGGGCCACGTGGCGCGGCGCCGCGCGGGCGGGTGGCTGCGCTGCAGCGGGGCGCACCTTCGAAGACGTACTTGACGCCGGCGTCCACGAGGCGCTGCGCGTCGGCTTCGGTGACCTCGTTCTGCGTGGCGCACGGGAAGGCCACCACCGCGCTGTCCACCGCCCACGGCTTGGCGCCGTCCACGTAGACGGCGGTGTTGAACTTCTTGGTGTACTCGCTGATGCGCGCGCGCTTCTTCTGCTTCAGGTCGAGCACGTGCTGCAGGCGGTCCGGGGTGAAGCCGTCCTTCTCGTAAATGTACCCCGACGAGTCTGCACAGCGCGGCGCGCAGGAAACGGGTCACGCGCGGCACCGCGGCAGCAGCACGGGACGAAGCCCGGTAGTGCGGGGCCAAACGCCGCGAGCGACAGCGGGGTGGCGGAGCAGGAGCAGGCGCAGGCCGGGGACGGGGGCCGTCGAGCGAGACTGCGGGGCGGGGCGGGGCGGGGAGCCGCAGGAGGGCGACCAGGAGGCAGCCACCCATGAGCTGCCGCAGTGGGGATGGGGACCACAGGCTAAGCGGACGACACGGGCAGCGATGCAGGAACAGCGAACAAGTGGCAATGGCGACGCCAAAACCTTGGGAGCGACTAGATTCAAATCGGATGGGATGCTTCAAGGCCGCGCTGACCGGAGAGCGTGACGGGCAGCGCGCCGAGGTGCAGCAGCTTCTCCACCGTGTACTGCGCCACGTTGCCCGAGCCGGACACCAAGCACCTGCGCGCCGCCACACGCACAGGCACCGCTCACCACGAAGCAACGAGAGAGCGCCCGGAGCAAGGAGGCTGCGGGGAGGAAGGGGCAGGCCATGGCGCAGGGCAGCCAGCCTGCTCCTCAAAGCCAGCTGACAAAAACACGTTTCTTGTCCCAGCGGCAATGGACACCTGCGAGAGTGCACGAGCTGTCACCGGGGCTTGCCCCTGCGCGCCTCACCGCATGCCCTTGAGGTCCTTGCCCATCCCGCGCAGCACCTCCTGAGCGTAGTACACCAGCCCGTAGCCTGCAAGAGGAGGGAGGGGGGGGGTGGCCACGAGTCAGCGGAGGAGCCCAAGAAAGAGACATGGGGTTGGGCAGCGGCGCACAGGCAGGACGCGACAACAGCTGGGGCGCGGTGCATGCTGCGCTGAAGGACCTCGTCGCACTGGTCGGAGGCGCTGCTGCCCAGCCCAGCGCCGCGCCGTGCTGTGTTGGTGCGTGGGGGGTGGCCCTCACCCGTGGCTTCGGGCCGCAGGAGGGAGCCGCCCCACTGCAGCGCCTTGCCGGTCAGGACGCCCTCGTAGTGCACCGTCAGCCGCTTGTACTGCCCAAACAAGAACCCGATCTCGCGCCCACCCACGTTGATGTCCCCTGCACGTCAAGACAAGGCTGAGCAGGGGGGGGAGGCGGGCCGCAGTTCATATGAGGGCCATGCGCGCTGGGAGTCGCCCAGGCCAAGCATGCAGGGGAAGGCCCTGCACTCGCACACAGAGGCAGGCGTGGTCGAGAAGCAATGGGCGGATTGTCCACATTGTCCTCACAAAAGCGGCCGTGAGCGAGCAGCGGAAAACAACAGTTGGACGGCTACAAATATAGCGGGATCTTGAATGTTTCGCAGCAAGACAGTCCCTTGTACCGCGGAGTTGGGGGTGCGGCGTGGAGCTGACCTGCGGGGACGTCTGTGTCGGGTCCAATGTGGCGGAAGAGCTCCGTCATGAAGCTCTGGCAAAACTTCATCACCTGGACACGCAGGAGGAGGCGCAGGGTCAGCAGGGGGCAACATGGGAAGCGAATCGAAAAGTCGAGAAGAGTCCTGGCCTTGCCATGCAGCAGTCTGGGCGTGAACAGAGCTCCTTGTGCCGGCATGTCGCGGAGGGCAGGCGACAGGGGCCCCTGGTGCAGCAGTGCCGCTCTGGCCGGCGCAGCATGACCAAGGATGGCAACATGCAGCGTCCGCCGCAGCGCCCACTGGATGCAGGCGCGGTGCGAGCAGTGCGCACGGGGGGCGTACCTCATTGTCGGACTTGCCGCGGGGATCGAAGTCGGAGCCACCCTTGGCCCCTGCCAGAAGCAAAGATGCAGCGTTGGGCGCAGTAGCAAAGAAACACCCGCCCTCGAAAGCCACAGCAAAAGGATACAACAGCGCAGCTGATCTCGCAATCTCTCTAGTATTGAAACTTCTGTTGTGTTCAAAACATCAATACGAACAGCACCTTTCTTGAGTAGAGTCAAGAAGTTGTTTTGAATGAAAAAAGCAAAGTAGCGGTTAAATAAAATTTTTGGATCTGTACCAGCTGGCAGATAGCTTGTTGTTACAAGCCTTCAATTCCTCTCGGCAATGAGCATGAGCGACAACTTCTTTTTTCTATCTTGTCATCACAGCTTCAAACCAACGACCCACTACTTTCTGCGAGTGCTGTTTGCCCAGCTACGCAGGTTGCTTGCGGGGCGGGTGGGCGTGGCGCGCGCTCACCCCCCATGGCGAGCGTGGTGAGGCTGTTCTTCAGGATCTGCTCAAAGCCCAGGAACTTGATGATGCTCAGCGTCACGCTCGGGTGGAAGCGCAGGCCGCCTGCACCAAGGCACACGCGGCGCGCTCAGATGCGGGCGAGGCACGCCGCAGCAAGAGAGCTGAGCAGGTGCATGGAGAGTCAGAGACATGCGGCCGTGCACGCTGCAACGAAGGACATGAGCGGTTGAAGTCAAGGTGTGCCACTGTGGAGCTCAAGATCTCCAGCATGCAGGCCAGCCTGGCGGCGGCGCGCTGCTCCTGCGGGGGTGGCGTGGGCTGACCCTTGTAGGGCCCCAGCGCCTGGTTGAACTGCACGCGGAAGCCGCGGTTGACCTGCTGCACGCCCGCGTCGTCCAGCCAGGCCACGCGGAACTGCACCACGCGCTCTGGCTCCACCAGCCGCTCCACCACCGGCAGGTACCTGCGCCAGACGCCACCTACAGCATTATGTACGTACGCGGGGCAGAGCGGAGAGCAGCCCGCCGCGGGCGCACAAGAGGCTCTGTCCATGCAGGCCAGGGCATGCGGGGCCGGCTGCCGGGCACGCAGAGGGGGGGGGGGCGGCGCTCACTCGGGGTGCTTGTCCAGGACGGGGGTGAGGGAGCGCAGGACCTCCTCCACCGCCTGCAGAAGATCCAGCAAGAATTCCATATGACCGTCGTTCATTGCTCCTGAGCATTGCAGAGATGCCTCCAGAGCACCACACCTGGACAATTGAGTGCTTGGTGTCCACGACATGTCTGCCTCAGCAAAACAATAGCGCAAGCAGCTTCCCTCTGTCCAAAAAGCGCCTTATGCGCTCGAGACTCAGACATCCTTAAATTGTGGATCACGTGTGGAGTGAAATGCTACATAGATTATCTCAAGGTCCGAACAATGAGAACTGTCTCCAGTTTGGGTTTCAGTACCTGCAGGAACTCTGCCTGGTGGGGGTCTCTGGCGCGCACCTTGCCCAGGATGGCCCCCACGCTCAGAGAGGGGGGGCCAGAGCTGCAGGCAGCGGAAGGGGGGTCAGAGAAGGGGAATCAGCGGGCCCAACTGTGGAAGGCTCTCCCAAGAAGAAAAGAGATGCGGTCGTGAATGGATTCGAAAATATTGTATGCAAGATGTGAACCCAATGATGATTGCCGTGACACTGTGCTGCAAGAGTGTTCCTGGAGTGTTTGCAGGGGGGGTGCAGCGGCCTAGCCACGGAGCCTCAGCAGAGGCAAAGCAAGGGCCAGCAGTGCACAGGAAGGCCGCCACTACTGCCAAGCGATGGCAGCTGCAAGCAATGGTGATCAGCAACAGCAATGCCAAGGGGTAGAGGGGAATGTGGGGCAACAGCATCAAAGCCCTGAGCTCAATTGACCTGACAGACCAGGGCTGCCCCTGCAGGCTGTGTCATTGGGGCGGCACGCACTCTTTGACTCCGTTGGGGCTGTCAGCAGCCGCCGGAGCGCTGGCCTCCTTGGTCGCTGTTGCCATGGTACTGCGTCCCGACACTTGTTCCCCACAGTGGATCGGAGCTTCGCTTGTGCTGGCAGGCGGAGAGCTGCGGCAGAGCAATGGGTCACAGCGGGGACACCCGATCAGGACGGCGCAGTGGCAGAGGCCACAGCGAGCCAAGGCAAGACGGCGTCCGCTCCGCAAGCGAGAACGATAAAACGAAGATGGCCGCAAAACGGGAGTCAGCAATCCGAACAGCAATGAACAGCTAGCTTTCGCCAGCAGGTTGGATTGGCAGCGAAACTCCCTTAGAACAGCGAAACTCCCTCGACTTGCAAGCAACCTAGGTAGTCCTAGTTGAACTTGCAGTGCTTGCTTCTTCCTGAATCCTGGAAGAGCACGAGCTGACGGACACTGACAGTAGCCTATCGGCGTAGGCGGCAGATTGTGCACTCTGCAGTGTGCACTGTGCATGCCAATTTGCAATTTGCCACTAGTGCATGGACTGCGGCGTGCGCAGTGACTGACGGTGCATAATGCGTCGCACGGAGAGTACGAGCAGCGGCATTCACCAGCGTTTGCATGTGATTGGTCGATCGAGTTTCAGAGCCTGGCGCGTCAGACATGCTGAGGTCATATATGACATTTGGCGTGATAACACAGTAGCAAATAATGAAAGCTGACGTCGGCATGGCGCCCCTTTCCCTCGGGGCCATCTTGATCCGGACTCACATGGACGGACGGTCACTCTAGTCTCACTGGACTGGCCGCGCCCCGTCCAATTAGGGACTCTGGACTGATCAGGGCGGGGATTGCAGGGCCAAGGCCCAATACTACGTCCTACTCACGATTAGTGATCCGGCCTAGCTTTTATAGTCTTGCATATATGGCATGAGTATGATAGTACTGTAGCAGCAACGGTAGTCCATCAAGGTCATGCATATATATTGACTGGGAAAGCTCAGGAGCGGGCGCGTTTGGAGTACTGATGTGCGAAGGTGCTGTCGACTCCCCCGCCTGCACTCGCTCCGCCGCGGGCGCACCTCGTCTGATCCTCTCAGGATCCTGACTCATGAGGTAGGCGGCGGCATGGCTACGGTGGCTTCAACTTTCAGACAATATTCTGAATCAAGCTGATCTGTATGGCACAAATCTTGCCCTTTCTTTACTTATCTGGCCGAGCCTTCCTCCAAATCTTGACCAGTTGATTCAGAACGAGTTCAGAACGGTCTTTTAAAGTTTCCAGCCTGTGAGACGAAGTCTTCAAAGTCTTACTCTAAGCTTCGTACCGTAGATTGCGAAAAGCCAGAAAAGCAACGTAACAGTGCCCTCGAGGCGCTCTGAAGCTCTGAGCCTTCAATTTAGAGCGGCGGCTGCAGCTTCCTGGACCTTTCATATATTGGGTTGTCAGTGCCAATCCGTCAATACTAGTCGGCGACTGGATCACTGTCGTCTTGGCCCGGCCCCGGCCCGATCAACAGGCGTTGCAGTGCTTCTTGACTCGACTTTCAAAGACGGGCGACGTTACAAGCACGTTACAAGTTGGCAAGATTTTGGAATCGTGACTAGACGGCTTGGACAGAGACGATTGGCTTCCCGAGCTGGCCATCATCGAATTCGGGCCGCCGCGCAGCAAAGGCTCGAGACGCTGCAACCTGAGACCGTGGTGACACCATTCAATTATCCGCTGACTCTAACCGTCAACAAGTTTATCCTACTTGCAACCTACTTGCAATCAAGACACACCGTTTATGATTATGTTTACGGGTCGGACTCTCCTATCTGTCCTATAATGAGCTAGCGCTCCCATCGAGCTTGAACCATTGCGGTCCCTCCTGGTGGCCTCCCACTGCTACTTTCGGCCCCATCTAGTCCAAGATGACATGATGGACTGGACGGTTCATTGTGGACTTGCAGCACATTTCGCTCGAGGCCAGTGTAGGAGGTGTCTGAACTTTAGGCTGGGCATCTGTTTGCCAACGTGTGCCGACAGGCTTGTGTACCGCTTGTCTACGCCCGTAGTAGAATAATCTGTGTGATCAAGTGGCAATGGGCGTTAATCAGCATTCTCCAAGTTTGCCGATCCACTTTAAATCATACAACTCAAGCTCGCGTTTGTGTACTAGTATGCACAATCCACAGCTGCACGGACGTTGTCAGCAATATATAGGCCTATCCTGGGCCCGGAGGTTGCCAAAGTTGCCCGCGACGTTGCGCGACTTTCCGCGATTCTGCGCGACTTTCCGCGACTGCTCCGCGACTTTGTTTCGCGATCTTCGCGACTTTCATCGAAACCTTACAAAGCTTTGACAAACATGTTTTCAAGAATGATTTGCATTTAGATATTTGCAGATCTGCGCGACGTTCCGCGACTTTCCGCGACTTTGCGCGACTTTCGTCCGCGACTTTCACCGCGACTCTGCGACCTCCGGGCCCAGGATAGGCCTAATATTTAGTCCTTGAAGGTCGTTCCCACCTATTCAGGCGAGTCGACAGATTACTTGTTGTCAAGAAACACCCCAAAGCCATGATCCATCTTCAACGGCGTGCATTTCTTCATCGATCATGACTGTCAACCAGGCTTCAGACGTTTTTGCAACGAGCTGGCGGTCTGCGTTGTCATTAAGGGGCAATCAACTCATTATAGCCTAACTCAACATCATAGAATCGATGCACATGCACAGTCTTCAAACTTCTATGCAGCCCGCCGGCTTTTGATGAAGGATCATTGCCCATCATTGCCATTAACGTCTTGCAACACCATTTGTAGAATAGTAGAACACTGACGAATAGATAAATGCTAACAAGCAGTAGTCGTGATCTCCAAAATTACGATCGCGCATGTTTCAAGGCCTCGAGTTGGTTCCACGTACTGCTTCAATATTGATGGCGCACTGCAAGCTAAGAAAATCGCGCGGATGTTTTGTAAGAATTTTGTTCTCGAATGGCAGAGAACGTTTTGCGCTGGCCAAGTCACTGCCAAGCCTACAAGCGGAGTGTCATGCATCTGAAAGAAGAGCCATTGAATGCAATCATGTAAGGGTACCGTCACTATCCGGTAAGGTGTTCTAGATCGAGGCACCTGTGCGAGAAGGTCGCCAGGGCCTCCCCATTCCCCGCCCTGTTGTTCTATCATTGACAAAGGCCCGATCCATTTATACACCAGTTGAGCTGAATTCCAGGCATTTTGCGCCGTCTTATTCACCTCTCCAGTCCTCGTATGCCCGTTTCCAGAACCAGTGCATCATCGATAGAACGGCATAAACAATTAGCGTGTCCGGCTATGCGTATACCGTAAAAAGCAAGCTGGGCCGGGCTTCGCCCGGCGGTCACAAAGCCTGAATTTCTGGCATGCAAGGCGGCCCCCCGCCCTCCCTCATGAGTTGGCCAGATGAAGCTGCAAGCCCTGGCCCCTGGCCTTCGAGGGCCGGGGTGCCACTCAAGCTAGGCAAAGTAATTGAACCCTAGATCCTAAGATCAAAGCTGATTTGGGCAGCGCATGTGAGTATTCAACATACATGATCCAACATATTGCCGGCCATGCCCTGGCCGCGGGCCAACTTGGCAATACTGATTCACTTCAAGATCCACTAGAATGCACAGAACATGTATCACTACCATGCAGGCCGCCGGTTCAGCATGATTCAGTTGGGTCATAAAGTCACGCGTATCCTATGAGGCATCTGGCTCGAGAATCTTTGATTGCTCAGCCGGCAAGCGTACAAGCAGGCTTGCCCGTCTACTACAGAAGCATATACATGTTAGTTCTTCCATGAAAGCTAGGACGCTACATCTACCCTCATGGGCTTGAGGATGTGACGGTATATAAGGCCGGAAAGTCTTGTGCATGTGGGAAATTTTATGATTGGCACGAGATGGTACACTAGTGACGCCAGGTCGAACTCGAATTGACATCCACACCAGCGCATTTTGCAGGATGATTTGAAGCCACGGACTGACATCAATCGTATCATCGACGAGCCAGAAAAGAATGTAATGCACTCAATGATGCAAAGATGCTAAAACCCCTCGCAATTAGTGAGATCAATGCATAAGAACTTCAGCACATGGATTTCAATGACAAGCTGCAGATTGGACCAGGCTCGACGCACCGGTCGCATTCTGACGATTGTTTCCCATCGACCCACGCGTCATGCCCACGAACTACCAGATGGCATGGACGTGAGGATTTGGCCTTGACAATATGCGCTTGCACTTGTATGCACAGTATGGTACACAACGATCCCGAAGCATAAGGCAGCATCACACTGTTCGGAACAGTTCGCGCATCTCCGGGGAGGAGGGGCTGAGCTGTTCGCTGGGGTAGCACTGCGCGAGCAGCGCCTCCAGGTCCTCGTACTGCGCCAGGAACTCCTCCTTGGCCTTGTCCCAGAGGCTGGGCAGCAGGTCGTCCGCGGTCAGGTGCTTGGCCATGCGCTTGTACATGCCGCCCAGCTGCTTCTCCACCTGCACACCACACGCACCACCGCCTCAGGCCCCTGGCACGGCGCACACACCGCACGCGACCGCCGCAGCGCACGCCACGCCCCAGCGGGGCAGCACGAGACCAAAGGCAGGGCGGGGGCGCAGCTCACCCCGGCGAGCGTGCTCTTGAGCAGCTTGCGCAGGTCCGCCTTGCTGAAGCCGGGCGAGAAGGGCACCTGCAGCAGCGGCGGGGGAGCAGCGCGCGTCAGCTGACGGACAGCGGAATTGGGGCAGGGCGGAGCGAGGGGCGAGCACGGCCAACCTGCGGCGGGCATGGCCACAAGACACCCCGGGTGATCTTTGAGAGGGACTCCGGTCGGGGCAGCCAGCGGTCTCTGATACCCGGTCAACGAAAGAGCACAAAAGCGTCGCGGCAAGCCGGGCAAGACGTTGGAGGCCTTGACAACCGATCCCAAGGAAGAAGTCCAGTCCTGATTGGTTGATAAGGGCGAAGCAGTCTTGGTGGGATAAGGGGCGCCAGCCGGCTACTGCCTTTGTTGCAGGAAAGAGGGGGGGCTGTCATTGCGCCCCCCCGCCAGGCTGGTACCTCTGCGCGTCCGCCTCAATAGTCGGGCAGCGCTGGCCGCTCGGTGGGGCGCAGTGCGGCAGGAGACGAGGGGGGGGGCTCACCTCCTCGGGGCGGACGTCGAGGGCCTTGATGCGCTCGCCGAACTGGAACAGCTTCCCGAATTGCTGCACCACCCACCCGCCCGGGCATCAGCTGCCGCGCAGGGAACACCGCACGCAGCACGCAGCAGACATCACACAGAGCAGCGGCAGAGAGCAGGGCCGTGACGAAGAGCGGGGCTGGGGGGGGTGGCCCTCACGTAGGCGATGGCCGCGTGGACGTAGTCGGCGCAGGCCTGCTCGTAGGCGTCGCTGGCCTGCTGGTAGAAGACGGCGAGGGCGGGCACGCTGTTGGCGAGGTCGAAGGTGCTGTTCTGGAACGCGGCGTAGTTCTCGAGCAGCAGGATCGGCGCGTGCTTGGGGTCCGCGGCGGCGATGCGGTGCAGCACGGCGAACATGGTGCCCACCAGCCGCTCGTACGCGCCGTCCACCGCGTCGCGCGCGCCGCCCTGCACCAGCTGCTCCATGCGACCCGCCAGCAGCGCAAAGCGCGGGATGTACGGCAGCACGCCCGCCTGCTTCAGCCCCTTATCGTACCGCTCGATCTGGTGCGTCACCTCCTCGATGAACTGCGCGCACGGGCAGAGAGGCGCGCGTGGGGAGCAGGACGCAGACGGGACATCCGAGCCTGGTCATCCTTGATGCATTGGTGGCATTGGGTGCATCTCCGTCTTGCAATCGCTTTTGCCCTCTGGCCACACCATGGATGCCAGCCGCAGCAGGTCGACGCCGGCCGGAGGGGCGCACTTTTCCCCGGCTGATCCGGTGTGGGGCGCGCACCTTGGCCCAGCTGGCCCGGATCCTGTCGGCGCAGTCGGCGAGGAGCTGCGCGATGGCGGGGCTGCCGTGGTCGGCGGTGCCATGGGAGGCGAGCCAGGCCTCGGTGATGCCGTCCAGCGTGATGGCCTGCACCGCGTCCAGCCGGCACGCCCAGTCCACCAGCCCCACGAAGTCCTCCGACAGCCCCGCCACCAGTGCGCCCTGCCCCGCCGCCAGCGCCGCCTGCTCCGCCACGCCGCGCGCCACCACCACTGCACGCACCACGCCCACCGCACGCGCGTAAGCGGGCCAGGCAGAGTGCGACCAGGGGGCAGAGCAGGGCAAGGGGGCGGCCACACAGGCGCCGGCCCTGCCGCCTGCTGGCTTGATCAAGCCATAGGGGTGGGAGGGGGGGTAAGCCCTCACCAGTCTTGCCATCAGGGGCGGCAGGCGCGTCGGTCTCGTCGTCGGAGAGGTCGATGTTGAGGGAGTCACTGCGCGTGCGGCTGGGCGCTTCCACGTCGAAGCACATGAAGCCCGCAAAGAAATTGCTCTGCCACACCCGGCCACAGCGCGGCCGTTAGGCGGTGCCGATGCGGGGGGAGGATGCGAGCAGACATGGGGCCGGCAGCACAGGAGGCATGCGTAAGCAAGGACGGGAGCAGGTCAAGTGGCGTGCACCATGCCCGGATGCCAACGCGATGCCACCACCCAAGCCCGCATGGCGAGTGAGAGCACCCCGGGAAGGCAGAGACTGGAGGGTGGCTAGCGCCCGGGCCCTGCACACGCACCTCGTCGACGATGAGCGGCACGAACGTGCGCAGCATAGTAGTGTAGGCCTCCCCTGCGGGCGAAAGCGCGGGCCCCCCCGTGCCGTTGGCGGCCCCCGCCAGGTTCTCCAGCCACGAGTTGGTCGTGCGCACCAGCTTGCTGCTGGCGCGCAGCTCCTCCGCAAACGCGCGCGCCTGCACATGCCGCCCGTGCGCCGCGCCTCAGGCCACGCCAAGCAGGGGCACCCCAGGCCAGAGGACAGCGGCACAGGAGGGAGGGAAGCCACATGGACGGCGCACGGAAGAGGGGAGCGGGCGGGGCTCACCTCGCGTCGCAGGAGGCTATTCAGGGAGTGACAGTAGGCCTGGCGCAGGGGCGGCAGGCACGCGGGGTCCAGCTCCTGCACCACGCACCAGCCACGGCCGCCAGTCAGCCCAGCAAGCAGCACCGCAGCAGGGGGCGGCCCCTGGCGCGTCAGGCAAGCAAAAGCGAGAGCCGACGCAGGGCTTGCTGACAGGGCAAGCCGCGAGGGGGCGGCGCCGGCACAGAGCAGGGGGCGCAACAGCGGCGGCGGACCTTGAGGTGCTGCAGCAGGGGCGCGTAGGCGCGGCAGCGATAGCGCAGCTCCGAGTGGTCTGGCCGCTTGAGGGCGCCGCGCTGGGAGAAGGCGGCCCGGTTGGCCAGCAGGGGGTCGGCAATGGCGGCGAGGTAGGTGCGCAGGAAGTCGGTGGCACGGCGCACCCACGTGCTGCGCAGCCGCTCTAGCTCCGCGCGCTTCTCGCGCACCGCCTGCATGCCGGCGTACTGGGCGGGGAGCGCAGGGGGCTCCAGCGCGGCGCGCGCCTGCGTGAGCCAGCGCGCAGCCTCCATGTTCTGCGCCATGCACGGCTCCTCAAAGGGTCCCCCCAGCAGCAGCGAAGAGAACTCGGGGGGCACGCGCAGGCGGGCCAGCAGCGCCGCCAGCTCCGCCAGCAGCGCGCCGTTGTTCTCCGCCTGCTGCTCCAGCCGGTTGTTGCGCAGCTCAATCTGGCACACGCACACGCGGCAGGTAGGCACGCATGGAGGCCGCGGAAAGACACACATGACCGGGGCTTCACTCCCGACCACTTCACGCAGGTGTGGAAAAAATGCGGCAAGGTGCGGACCACAAGAGTTCCAAAGAGCAGGGCACCAAAACTTGTCGAGTTCCTGTGCGAACCGCAGGTTGCCCTCGTCTTGGCGACAAGCGGGTCAACCAGCAGACTCAATCACAACACTTTGAGGCTGCCCGGGGCCGCCCGACCATGGAGAGTGCGAGCGGGAGTCCCCAGCAGCCACGCCCAAAGGGCAGCCCTGCTCCCTGCCTGCCCGCGCGCTCACCGCCTCAATGTCCTCGCGCATGTGGCGCAGCTTGGTGTTGAACACGGCCAGCGTCTCGTCCATGTCGTCCGCGCGCCCGGCCGCCTCGTCCAGCGCGGCCAGCACCGCGTCCACCAGCGGCTCGCTTTCCAGGATTGCGTGCACGTTGGCCGCCTCCAGCGCCGCCAGCTCGCGCCGGAGCCGCTCGCTGAACGCCTCCGCCTGCCCGATGCCCAGCGTGTAGCTGCCCAGCAGCGCGGCCATGCCCGCCTCCTCTTCCGCGCTCACCAGCGCCTCCGCGGGGCCCACGCCCACCAGCGCCGCCGCGCCGCCCTCCGCGCCGCCGCCCACCGCCACGCCCACCCCCGCCACCATGGGCGGGCCCAGCTCGGGCGCCCCGGCGGGCAGCGGGGCAGCGTGCGCCTGCGGTGGGGGGGGGACAAAAGGAGAGGGCCTGAGGCACACCGCGTACACAAGCAGGGCGGGCCAGCAAGGGGAGTGGCGCAGCAGGCCGCCTGAGGCACACTGTAACCAGTCAGGTGGGGCAGGAGAGGAGAGGGGGGGGACTGACCTGGGCCCAGAGCGCCATCTCCACAACGTCGAGGCCCACGACGACGGGCAGCTTGAGGCCATTCTCTCGACAGAGGCGCAGCAAGGTAACCACCAGCAGGTTCCTGCACGCACGCACACCGCGCACAGTGAGGGAGCAGGCAGACCCCGCAAGCGCCAACCAAAGGGGGCACACAAGAAGAGATGCGGCCACTGAGAGGGCCGGCCAACGGAGGGAGGCGGGAGCGCACCTGTCATCCGGCGTGCGCGCAGTCCACTGTGGCACGGGGATCCCTGGTTTGGCATTGTCAAATCTCTGCACAAAAGGGCAGGGGCGGACGACGGTGAGGAAGGGCACCAAAGGGGCAGGCACCGGCCTCGCAGGGAGTCCCACCGAAGCGGAGTTGGCGCTTGGCCACCCAGCCGACAGTATAGCGGCGAAGCACAGGGGCACGGGCGCTGCAAAGGGACTGAGCGCCATTGAGAGAAAAGGGGGCAAAGGAAGGATGGTGTACCAGGAAGAAAGAAAGGGCGGCCGCATCTCCGGGTAGCGCCTCAATCTTGACAAGGTGCTTCAGCTTGTACGTCTTGGACACCTGCACGGGCGCGCACCGGCGTCAGCAGCGCCCACGTGGAGCGGCCCAGGACCCGAGCAGGCGGCAAGGAAGCAGTCGGAAGGAAGCACAGGGGTGCTCCGCCTCCCACAGCGGTCACTCTCTGCAATGTGGTTGAGGCAAGGTGGCGGCAGTGCTTGCCTGCAGCCCCGCATTGCTCTGTTTGATGACGTGCAGGTTGACTTTGAAGCGCTGCGTCGCCGGGGAGCGCTTGGCTGCACACCCAGTCAGCACGGGACAGTCATGGAAAAGGGGCAACACACGACAGCATGGCGCACCAACAAAAGGGACTTCTCCGCATCCTTGGAGCTAATAGCAACTCATTGACGCCACACCGCCCCGTCAATTCCGAATGCACGTCCTGGCCAATTGCACCGCGGTGCAGCTGCGGGGATGGCTGGGCAGGCGGCCCGTGCGCAGGCGAGCTGGCGTGCTGACCTGTGACGGCGAGCACGCGCGGCTTGCTGGTCACCCGGTTCCTGCGCACGCTGAGGTTCCAGGCGGACGCGGGCGCGCTCTTGGCCAGGCGCACCGCCGTGACCACGCTGCTCTCGGACGCCGCAAACAGCGCCTCCACCGCGGCCACCAGGCCGCCGTCCGCAGCGCCAGCCATGGCGCGCCCCGGCAGGAGCAGGCACGAGCAGGGCGGGTCAGAGGAGCGGATCAGAGGCCAGGCCCGGCCATGGCAATCAGAATCTGACCCTCGGGCCCTTCTCGGGCCGTGAACTTGAAGTAGGTACGTTGAGCTCAGCGAGGGAAGTGCAGACGCCGGCCGGAGCCTGAGGTGGTCATGCGCAGGGAGACGAACTTAGGGCCCGGCGCCGAGCTGGCGGCCGCGCCCTGCCCGGCGGGCCGCCCGGTCCAGACTCCGCAACCGACGGTCCGACCCCTCAATGTTTTGCTCATGAGCACCTCGCGAGTCGCTTCTCTAGTTCGGCGCACCACGTCACCAGGACTAACGCAGCGCGGTACGGCCCGTGGGACACCGTACGCGGACCGTGGTACCGTGACGTGACCTTCCCGTACCCTGCTGCTTCAGGGCTTCGCTGACTTCACGATGCACTCACGACTCACGAGACACGAGTGGTTGCGTCGGCTGAGAGTCTCTGCCTCTGACTCTGACTCACAGTCTGCAGCGTAGAGAACCCTGCAGGCTCCTTGAGCAGCATTCGACCGCAAGTGAGCGTGTGTTGCCTGGCATGCCACCGCTTGCTCTTCCAGCGACGTGCTTGCTCGAGGTAGCAGAGGGGAGCGGCTCAAGATGGCCGGGGGGTTGCCTGTGTCCCAGCAAGAGTAGAGTGCGAGCCGTAGTAGTGCAGAAAGAATGACTAGTCCTCTTCAGACGGTGACGCCAAGCTCGTCTGACAGCGACGCTTCGGTCCTGTCTGTTGGAAAGGTGGTTGGGGGTGAGGGGTGGAAGCAGAGCGCGGGGAGAGGCCGGGCCGGGTCTGGGCTAACAGCCAGCAAGGAGCGCGCAGGGCGGCCTCTTGAAGTGCTTGCGCCGGAGCTACGCGAGCAATACGAGGATACAGGGGCGGTGCTGGGCAAGGGTACGTACGGGGTGATCCGCCTGCTTAAGGACAAGCGGAGCGGCACGCATGTGGCGGCACGGTTCATTCCACTGCGGCTGTGGTCGCGGCAGAATGAGAAGGAGATCATTCTCATGGCGCAGCTGCAGCACCCGTGCATGGTGCGCTTCCAGAAGGCCGTCCTGACAAGTGCGGATCTAGTGGTCATCACCGAGGCCTATGGGATGGGGAACACGCTGATGCGCTTTGTGGACAAGAAGATGCTGACAGAGTCACAGGCAAGGTAAGGCGTGTGCTGGTTCAGGCCCTCGGCCAGATTTGTGAAATGGTGCACCTTTTTACCAGGTTTGGTTGGTTCTGCTATGACTTAGTTTTTGTTGCGCCAGATCTTGGTTGTGGCCCATGTCCTCTTGCGCCCTCCAGCCTGTGTGAGCTTGTATTGCTGGTGGGGTAGGGTATGGAAACTGGTAACCTTTAAGCGGCAGACTTTGATGCTGTACAAAGGGAACTGTTTTGGGACGGACGGTTCGTTGAAAAGCAAGTGGAGTCCTGCAGCTGGGGTAAGAAAGAGGGACTAATGACACTGTCGTGCCAAAGAGTTTTAGATGGGTGCACAAGAGCAGACCCAGCCTCGGGCTATGTCGGATGCTGACTGTAGAGCAGTCGCGTGTGTGCCCAGCGCCGCCCCGCGCAGCTCTGACGCGGGTGCCTCGTGGGGGGCTGTCAGGTGGCGGGTCTCTTGGAAGCCCCTCTTCCTGAGCGGCCTGTCGGCTGCACATGCCAACAGTATAACCCTGTGTGGAACACCGTGAGCAGAAGCATATTTGCCTGGAGCCAAGAGCCTCCCCTTTGCCATGCGGAGCTCTGCAGGGGCTCAGGTGTCTTGGCGGTACAACTTACCCCAGATCTGTCCGATGGCCTTTCCACCACCTGCTGCTTACTGGTTCCCATGGGAGTTGTAATGTGTTTGTTGCCATTCCCCGGCAGAAACTTGGGGGAGTGTTGCTGGCGCGCGTGGGTGTTGTATGGGTCCGCCCTCTCTGTGGCGCTCCTGGTGGGCATGCACCAGGGACGCCACAGAGGGAAGGCCATCACCGCATTGTGGCCCTCTTCCGGCATTGGGTTTCTGCCCGTCGTCAGGTGTCAGGAGATCAGGTGGCGAATTGAGCACGTATACTTGGGACATGTGTTCACGTCCTTTTCAGCAGCCGCGTAACAGCGGGTCCCCTTCCTCCCCCTGGCCTGGGCGCTCACGGGCGCGCGGCTGTGCGCTGGATTGCAGGTACCTGTTCCAGCAGCTGGTGGCGGCCACGGAGCTGTGCCACGAGGTGGGGGCCAGCGGGCGGGACCTCAACATGGAGACGGTCATCCTGGGCAAGGCCAACCCGCCGGGCCTCAAGATGCTGCCCCTGGGGAACACGCGCACGGCGCTCATGCGCGGCTCGGAGCAGGCCGTGCTGCCCAGCAGCATCTACGCAGCGCCGGAGATCTTGCAAACGCGGGGGCCGGGTGCGGAGGGGGCGGTGGAGCAGCACGACCGAGCGGAGTTGGCCAATGGGAAACAAGCGGACGTGTGGTCGCTGGGGGTAATCCTTGCAGCGCTGGTCTTTCACACATACCCCTTCGCAGACAAAGGCCCCGAGAAGAACGTGCAGCGCATGTTCGAGCGCATCACGGCGGGAGAATATCAAATCCCAGCCAACGTGCAAGTGGATGATAGTTTAAGGGATCTCTTAGATAGAATATTCCAAATCGACCCCAACAAGCGGATCACGTTGCAGCAAATTAAGGAGCACGAGTGGGTGAAGGTAAACATGCCACCGAAGCTGCGGAGAAGGTATCAGCCAGTACTCGCAGAAGGTGTGCAGAGCTTTACGGATGTTTTGATGGTGCTGAAAAGTGCGAGGGCTGCGTCAAACAATTCTTGAAAATGATAAAGGATGTACATAAAAGATTCTCAGGAAAGGGCTCCCTTCCAACCTGACGCGTAAGTGCCAAAAGACATAGCTAGCATGGTGACAAGAACGAAAACTAAATTGAAGTTAAATGATGGCCAAAAATAATCTTGTGTCGTGAGACTTCGAGATCTTCTGATCTGGAAAACACACTTAGCCGCATTGGCTACGAAGACCACTGTGTCGACATTTAAACGTGCTCCAAAGCTGCCGGGACACACGTTTTCGAAGAATTGGATCAATGTATTTCATGTATTTTGCACACTGGACACGCACGGAAATTGGAGATGATTGTGGAGTGCATGAGAATCGCTTGACACCGTCCTAGACCTCGGGTCTAGCTCACCAGCCTACGGGTCGGAAATCAGTCACTAGCTTGACGGTGAGTGTGTAATTGCTCGCTGTTCGCTGATGTGTGCTTACTATCTACATGATATACATGGCAGTCATACTTAATGATATTCACCGGGCGTCTACCCTTGCAAAGTAGTACGTGGCAATCCTTGTGACAACTAGAGCGGACGGCCGCCGGGCCCGCATCAATTATCATATCTAGTTTCTTTAATTATGCATGATATGCCAGGTTCACATCCACTGACCGGCGTACGTACAGTAGGACCTCAAGTGCATGTACTATACTTATGCAATTAAGAGCGAGATCCCACTAAACTCTTCAAATAGAGGGTCCCGTGCCTTGCACAAACTCCGCAGACTAACCACCCATTAATCTCATGCATGATGGTTATTAACACCGCAACAATGCCTTTTACCCTCGCGTTCAGCGAGCCCGCGATCGGCCCCGAATCGGAAGCATGCACGGTAAGTTTTTGGGATGGGTGTTTTTGATCCTAGCTCTAACTATACAGCTCTTGCAACCATGCCGCGTCATTCAATGGGGCCGTTGGGGCTGCTGCCAATTCCGCCGCCGCAGGCTTCCGCAATGTTCGAGTGTGCGCTCCAGCGCGTCCTCCACCTGCTCCGCTGGTGGTCATTGCTGCCGCCGCTGGGCCGTTAATTGTCACGTAAGCTTGCAGCAATATTGAACAATGATGCACGCGGAACTCGCGAGGAGGTTCATTTTGATAGAAGCTATTTGGCCCATAAGGCGTCAGCATCCTCAATTGCCCGCTCGATTGATTCGAAGCATTCAAGAAGCCCCCCAGGTAGTACATTTGATCGAGATCGATCCGAATCATGTCCCCGGCCGTTTGGTGATTGAAGGGGCGCCACTTCTGGACCTCAAAGCAGTGATGATGCGTCGTTCGAACCTTGCGGCCGAAAGTGACTTTGATTTTTGGACGTCCTGGGTGGAGTCGACGATCAAGGAACTTGTCCGGATTATACTCCCATTCAAGTTGATGATCATGGGATGGTCGTTGGGGACTCAACTCCTTCGATCTTGTTGAGGGCCGGCCCCATGGCATTGAGACCGGCCTTAATTTGAGCTTGGATCGCGTGGTTGCTTTACCGGATTGGCCAGGAGTTTGCAGATAATTGTCCGACCGGGAGCGCTTCCGACGCGAGCCTCTACAAAAGCGGAGCCTGCTCTAGTTTATGCATGTACAGCAGGGCTCGTTTGTGTATCTGACGGCTTTTTGGGATCAAAGTACGTGCAATATCACTACTTACGTCCATGTTGTTCCCTTCGATTTTACATGCACATGCAAACTCTGACGATGCTCGAAGTGACTTTGAAGTTTGACGCCAAATTCGATCCGAGAGTGGCCATGTCATGCATAAACCTTATGCTACCATTGACTTCTTTTGGTACGAAAATTTGGAAATAGCTATGACTTGCATGCTATATGCCAGGTATTGAGGGTTTGATGACTTTCAACGTTCAATTGCTTGCGCAAGCTGGGCCGGCATATATAGGATGAATTTGATCGAAACATCTTTTAGATGCCTTGTGCAAGAATCGAGCTGACGGGAGCCTGCTCTGGACGGTCCATCTATATAGACCATCCAATTGAGCGGCACCCAATATTTTGGGGCAAACTGATGATATGTACATAATCGACTTCACATCAAGTCTGATCCGTGAACGGTTAAGGCGGGTATCTTGGTGCAGCTCATCCGATCAATACTTCTGACCAGTCTGATTCAACATTTGTCGATCATGGCGGATAGGTGCTAACGACAAACAGGTCAAGCAGAAGAGTCAGTTCTTGAGCTGTAGATCTCAATAGGTCAGAGGTTACCATCTCCCCTTCTCACAGGCAAACGAGCATATCACAAAAGCTACACAAGTCCATGAATCATAAGCCAAAGAGTTAGAAATGATGATCTCAGCTAGCTTCTGACGCTTACCGTTTGGTACAACATGTCGTAATGGCCCCATGTCCAATCACAATCCATTCTCAATGGTCCCGCCATGCGTCAAAGTCTCGGTACAGCAAGATGGCAGGACTACTTGTTCAAAGAATTTTAAAAGCTTTTAAAGAAGTTAACTCTAGGTATGAGAAAAGTGAGCTATACCACAAAGTGTCAAGGGGCCCTTGACTCGAATGAGTTATCTCAAAGTTGGTCAATCCTGTATCCTATCTATATAGCATCCACTTGCTTGTTGCAGCAATAGCCGATTGCAGAACCGTATCGTGCTCTCCTCATGCACCCCTCTCATAAATACATAAAGCTGCTCGCATTGGTTACTGGGCGACAAGAGGAGCGCCCTTGGAGCTTGGCCAAGCTGCTGGCGAGCTCTGCACATGATGCATCCCGTTGCTTGCTCCTTGCGACGGCTCCAAGCCAGCCCCCGTCGTGTCTGCCCCCGCGCCTGTCGTTGCCCCACTTTCCCCGGAATACGCTCCCCTCGTCTCCTCTCCACTCAGTACCTGATCCGCCCCGTCTCTTGCCCCCTCGTGAGGCGACACTGCTGCCAGGGCCTGCTCCGCGTGCGCTCCTGCAGCGCCACCATCGCCGACACTGCCCGGCTGCACACCACGGAGCCAAAAGGGATCAGTCGCATTGCGAAGCTGGCCAACGCAGCGCTTGCGGCCAGCAGAGCCCGGAGGATGTGGATCTTTCATCGCACTCGCGCTCTCTGCAGCCCGTCTGGTCGAGCTTCGGTCGGCGGCCGCTCGCTGCAGGGGAGCAGTAAGTAGAAGAAAGCCCTCTCGATTGCTTCCATTACGAGAGGAGCCCTGCCAGCACGTACACGGAGCGCATCAGAACGGCAGGAGGCGCCTGCCATACTCCGGCAGCGACTCCCAGCTCAGCGCAGCCTCCACGAGGGGGATGGCACGGCCTGGAGGCAGGGCGGTCCTGCGACCTCCAGTGCCTCAGCCACGATGCGACTCTGGTCATTGCCCCTCCTCGCGCTGCGGGCCTCACCTCCACCTTGGGCGTGCTGTCGAGGCGTCCGTTGGCGTGCGGGGTGGCGGGCGGCGGGGTGGCCAGGCTGGCCTCGGTGGGCACCGCCTTAGGGGTGCCCCTGTCGGCGGAGGGGCTGGGCTTGAGGCGCGGGGAGGGCGTGCTGGTGCGGAACTTGGGCAGCGACGACGCGGTGGGCTGCATGAAGCGCGGGGTGCCCATGGGGGACATGATGCTCTTGGGCGTGCCCGGCGACGCGGCCGCCACCTGGAGGGGGGCCACCCACGGGGAGAGGCTTAGCTCAGCGAGCAAGGCAGGCAAGGCAGCACCCGCTAGGAGAAGTGCAGCATTCAAGGGCTCACACGCAGTGCACGCGCAGGATGCCCGGCTGTGCATCTGGCCCCGGGCTCACCTTGGGGGATGGCGGGAAGCTCAGGCGGCGCTCGGCGCGGGCCGCGGTGGGGGATGGCGTGGCTGCCTTCCTGCAGCAGCGGCAGCAGGACATGTGAGCAGAGCGGGAGGAAGAAGGGGGGGGGGTGGGGCGGGAGGCAGGCAAGGCGAAGGTGCGGGAGGCCAATCTGATCCCTCTCCCATGCAATCACCCCGGCTAGGCTGCCCGGACTTACCGAGGGATGGCCAGGGTTGCGGGCACACTGCGGGTCTTGCTGCTTGCCGCGGTGGGGGAGTCCGTCTGCGCGCCAGTCAGACACAGCAATCAGCACCGTGCCTGGGCAAGTCACGCACTATCCAGGCATGCCCTCTTGGGACCTGAGTGCAGCAGGATCAAGGCAGCCGCGATTTCGGGGCAGAGGGAAGACAGCACTGGGCGTGTGTCCTTGTGGCCGGCAGTCCCTCGGCCCTGACCTTGGGGCCTGCAGCCACGTATGGATCCTTGTTGAGGCGCGTGGCGGTGGCAGTGTTGAGCTGGCACACCCCGCACAGCGGCCCCGCCTCGGTGTCCTTGACGCGGCTGGAGAGGCGGCCGCACCACTTGCACTGGCGCTGCTCGCTCGCGGCCTTCCCCAGGTTCGGCTCCTCCCAGTCCACCACCTTGGTCGGGAAGTCTGGCTCCTGCACACCAACCCCTCCCCGCACAGCTGCGTCAGAGCAAGCAAGCACGTCACACACACACATGCCCCGCCCATGAGACTGCCCCTTCAGCCCTGGCCCTTGTTGCAACCTTCTTGCACAGCAGGGCCGGGCAGCCCTTGCGAGCTGTCGTATGATGCTCCACCAGCAGGGCGCGACGGTGCCCCGCACTCTGGGGCCCCTCACCTGCTTGGGGACCTTGGTGCCGGTCTGGGCGTACGGATCCTTGTTGAGGCGCGTCGCAGTGGCGGTGTTGAGCTGGCACACCCCGCACAGCGGCCCCGCCTCCGTGTCCTTGACGCGGCTGGAGAGGCGGCCGCACCACTTGCACTGGCGCTGCTCGCCAAAGTCGCGCTCCAGGTTCGGCTCCTCCCGCTCCACCACCTTGGCCGGGAAGGCACCGCCGTCCTGCACACAGGGCATGCGCACTCGTTCGCGCAGCCAGGACCAGCGTGCAGCGCAACGGGGGACAGCTCAGCGCAGCACACCAGGGTGCAGGTAGCCCCTACGTCAGGGCAGAGATTGACAGCAGGAAGAGGCCACGACTGGTATCGACGCATCCTTAAAGTGTGCTAGACGGCAGGGGCCAGGCAGGGGGCTTACAGACAGACGACGAGAAAGAGGCCCCCCCCCCTCGCTGTTGAACCTGATCACTCTGCGAGGTGGTGCCCAGTCCTGTACAAGCAAGAGCAAACCCTGAGTTTAAGAGAGAAGGCAAGCATCAGGACATTGCAAAAGAACCGGCTCGCAACTGCTGCACTAACATAGAGGCAGCAGACACAGACACTTGCAATCCGGGGCAGGGGCTCTCAGGGGCACCACAGGCGCAGCACACGGATGCACCTTGCGAGAGAGGTCGGAGGCGTCGATGAAGCTGCGGTTCCTCCAGGGGCGGGCCACCATCCAGCGCTCCAGCCAGCCCCAGCCCCACCCCTCGTGGTCGGGGTCGTTGGGGATGTACGTCACCGTCTGCACAGGCCAGCCCCCAACAGCGCAGCACATCAGGCCCCATGCGCGCCCTGGGCGAGAGCACACCCAATGAGACACAGGGCGATAGGAGCCGGCTGTGGGAGATGCTGCGGTAGGGAAGGCCGCACATAGAGATGATGCTGCCTCCCGGAGCCCCGGTGGCTCACCTTGGGCGCGGGCCCCGTCTTCCAGTTCTGGAAAGAGGCGGCATACGCGCGGGCCCTCTCCCGCTTGATGAAGCCGGTCTGGCGGCGGTGGTAGTCCGCCTCCAGCTCACTGATGGGGGCAGCGCTGCTCACCCAGCCCTGCACGCACCCGCCGCACAGCGCGGGTCAGAGGGGGGGGGGAGAGCGCCGGCCACTCACTGGTGCTTGCTAAACATGGCTTCAAACCCCTTGCGATGAGAATCTAGAACCTTAGTGCTGGATCTATGGCCGGTGTCCTCCATCAGGGGCCAGGCCACGCTTACATCTGTCCTCTTCTTCTCCGGCCCATCGGGCTCCCGGAACCCGCCGGCCTCAAGCCGCTGCTGCACCTCCCTGCCCGTAGCCGACTTGCGCACGGCATTGGCACGCGCGCGGGCCTGCACGCGCACGAGCGCGTTCATGCAGCGGAGCGTGATGGCGGCCTGGCGGCGCACGATGTGGCCGCGCACCAGCGCCTGCACCTTGACCAGGCTCTTGTGCGTGCGCACCGAGCGCCGCACCTGCCACACACAATCACGCGCAGTGAGCCTCAAGGACGGGGAAGAGAAACAAATGTTGCAATGTGACAGCAAGGAGGCAGAAAGCGAGCAACGAAGTGGCGAGCCACAAATGCTTTATTCCTGCTTGACAGTCACTCACCAGATGGCCCCGGTATGCGGCTTGGATCTTGGTGGCAGCCCTGGCATCTCTGCTGGCCGCCCTGCTCTTGCTCCCGGCTAGCGCGCGCTGCGGGTCTGGCTTGGGGGGATTTAGCACCACATTCAGTTTGTCCAGGCCAGAAAGGGGTACCCGCTTCGCCTCCCCTGACTTGTAGCCCACTGTGCTGCCATTTGCTTTTGCCACATCCCCACGCTGCAAAACGAGCCAGGAAGGAGTGAATGCCATACAAAAAATCCTGGTGTCAGGTTCATAGCGAAGAAGCAATCAGAAGAATGAACCTGGAAGGGACAAGAGCACTGTGGCCAGGACTCCAGCTTTTCTGAAAGCAAGTAAGAAAAGATGGAGAATCCTTTTAGGCAAGCAGGCACCGGACTTGTGGGTGAGGCTTTGAGATACGAAGCGGGTGGTATGCCATCTGTCGCCAAATAGGTTCATCAGAGATTTAGCTTGTTGCGATATCTGTGTTGCAGGAGGTGCACAGGCTCACCAGTGCGGCAACCCCTGCGACAGGGGTGCCCCCCACTGCAGGATCTGCCGAGGAGCCGTCCTTGGCCTTTTTCTGCATAGAGCCAGACGTCAGGTATCATTGCACACTAGGCCAGGCCCTCTGGTTGCGTGCAGAACATGACACTGCAAATGTACAAAAGCCTTTGACAAACATAGTTCAGGACTAGTCAAGCACAATTTGAGTACAACAAAGGAACAATGTCCAGGCATTGCAATCAACCAGATCCACCAGGAGTGCCATGCTGCTCACACTGAAAATCCTTGTCAGCGTTTTCTTCATGCCCATTGCGCTGGAGAGTGCAATGACCAGCTAGGAACACCTGCAGAGCGCGAAGGTCATGTTGTGACACAATGGCACACCACCACACCTCAGAGCGAGAGAAGAAGCATTTTAAGGGCTTTGTTGGATAGTCTAATAAAGCAGAATTGCTTCAGCTTTGCTCTGTCATTACCAATGCCAGGAACATGGGCACACAAACATCCTTTCCAGGTGCTGCTAAGCTTAGTCTAGCAGACCCTGACGGCATCTAACTGCGCTCCGGAAACAGGAAACTCACAAGGCTCTCTGTCGCACTCTAGAAGCATGAAACCGCCTCGCTGCTTTATTCCACACCCCACACGTCCTGTTGTCAAAGTTTTTCAACTTACTTTTAGAGAATGCCCCAGCTAGCACTGTCCTTAAAACCTCTCGCGCTTTACTTTGGCTAGAAGTTAGAACCTGCGTACAACTTGGCGCTTTTGAGATGGCCACCTTCCAATTTTCCTGCTATCGTAGCTACCCCGAGCTAAAAACGTGCCCTGGAATTTCTGCGACTCGTGGCGGAGCTCCTTCTTTTGCTGATCTGCAGATCAGATCTCAGAGTCACAGTGGCACTGGAACTTTGCCACTGCGGCGGTAGCCCCACTACAGGCTACAGCGTACCGTGCTGTCGGCGTAGGTACCTACGTCTGGTCTCAGCACGGCTGACCGAGTACGAGTATTTCTGGCGGTTTGACACAGCCCAATCTTTTGTCCCCCAATGGACAATGTGTGTCAAACAAACCTTCGGAAACGCCGACGCCACATCGATCAAACCAAAAGACCATCGACCGAAAAACTCCCGAGTGCCACTGATTTTAGGGTTTCTCTAGTCCTACGGTAGGTAGCGCTAGGGTTGCAGAGGTTGCACTTGCAGCTACGGTAGGTTGACCGTTTACAGGTCCCATGGCATTGCTTGTCGCTTCGTAGGTTCTGTAGGAACAAATCTGAGGTTGCATGGATTCCTCAGGAGCTGCCCCGTTGGAGGGTCTTCTGGCAGCCTTCAGCCCTGAGGGGGACACTCTGGCCGTCACCTCTGGAGATGGCCGGATCAAGGTGAGCGCCCCCTTGGTCGCGAGTGTCACCTGCAGGGGTGCTTGACTTGCAGTTTGCGTAATGCTGGCCCCTGCGGCTGCCCCTCTTCCTGCTTCACAGCTGGAGGCATCCCTGCATCATCTGAGTGTCATCATTCTCCCTGCAGACCTGGGACGTGAGCAGCGGCCGTCTCCGCGCAGATCTGGCTGCTGGAGATGCAACCATTACCAAAGCAGCTGCAGGAACACCGGGGGGCCTAGGCCTGCATATCAGTGCACTCACATGGGGCCAGGGGCCCGCTGCCAAGGCTGCCAAGGTGAGGCTGGGCCCAGTGCGCGCATGGAAACTTGTTGGCTGCTCATTTGGTGCTGCACCCCTTGGTGGAGGGACGGGCCGTCAGGCAGGGCTGCTGCGTGGGCGTGAAGCGTGATGGTAATGGTGCACCGATGGAGTAATCGCTAAGTGACGTTTGTTGCCCGCAGAAGAAGAAGGCGCGAGCGCCACCGCCTCTCATTGCTGCTGCGTCCAGCACGGGGGACGTTTTGGCGTGGGATGCGGCGCTGGGCGAGCTGCGGTGGCGCACCACCGCGGTCCATGCTGGGCCGGTGGGCGCCCTGGCGGCGGGGCCCCAGGGGGCGGTGGTGTACACCGGGGGCGCAGACGGGCGGGTGTGCCAGCTGGCGGCGGCCACGGGGGCGCTCCTGGCGCAGGACCGCCTAGAGCGCCATGGGGTGGCTGCACTTGCCGTCTCCCCAGGTAAGCCCACACTTAGCCGAGTGCGGCATACGAGGGTCCTGCTTGCGTGTGCCAGGCTGTGCTTCTGGCGCTCTCTCGCCGGCGCGGGCCCCCAGCTGATGCGGGGGGTGGCTGCTGTGCAGACGGGGCGCGCCTGCTGGTGGCGAGCGCGCGCATCCGCCTGGTGGACTTAGCCAGCAAGAGGAAGCTGCGCAAGCTGGCGGGGCACGCGGTGAGGCCCCCTCGCCGCTCCCTAGCCCACTCTCAAGGCGGGCTTGGTGTCTCGGCAGACCATGATAATTTTGGTCTTGCAGGGCGGCCCACATTGTCAGTTGTCTCATTGCTTCGCTGCTCTACTTACTTCGTTTGCTGTGCGTTTGCTGTGCTTTGATGGTCATCACACTGTTGTGCACTGGTGCAGGGCCGCGTACGTGCGCTGGCTTATACCCCCGACGGTGCATACGGCCTGAGTGCCGCAGCCGGGGACCGCCATGTGGCGCTGTGGGATCTGAGCGATGAGCGCAGCGATGGCGGCGTGCAGCCCGCCGCGGCGCTGCTGGCCATGGAGGAGCCGGCGGTGGCAGTGAGCTGCGCTGCGGGGCCTGCGCACAGGGGGGTGACCATTGTGGCGCTGGCGCAGAACGGGGATGCGTACGTGTGGCGCGGCGAGGGGGGGCTGGGGGCCGCCGCTGCGGCGCCCACACGGATCAGGTAGGTCTTTGCTGCGTGAGGAGATAATTTGCGGGTTGAGACTGGGGGCGAAAGCCCTCTCATGATTGTCTCTGGCTGAGGTGAGCTCTGTTGGATTTGCACCGCCCTTTCCGATGTGGCAGATATGAGCAACAGGGCTCAGCGCAATTGGCCGCATGCCCCGGCTCCTGCAGTCACCTTGTAAGACGCCCAATGGTTCATCATGCGTGTGCCCCTGCCTCTTTGCAGGTCGGGTGGACAGCGGTCGGCGGCAGAGTCCAGCGGTGCCGTGCTTGCGGCATGCGCGCTGGAGGGGGGCTCTGTGCTGCTGGCTCACGGGTCTGCCGCCTCCCCCTCGTTTGAGACTGTCCCTGCCAGCCGGCTGGTCGGGGGGCAGGTCACGCTGAGCCCCCCCCTGCAGAATGGGCTGTTGGAGGATGGGGCCACGCCGGCAGCGCGCACGAGCAGGGAGGCAGGTGAGGCGGGGTGCCAGGGCACTGCTGCAAGAGTCCCCCAAAAGCAGGGGGTGGACCCCCATGTGTGGCGCTGCAGGTCTCTGGCTTGCCTCTGCCATGCCCTCTTTTTGCGGGATCTCATGCAGCTGGGGCGCATGCAGGCACACCAGCGGTGGTGGGCCCCGACAGCGGCGGTGGAGGGGTGTCGGCTGTGCTGCACGAGCGCGATGCCGGCAGGGCGGGGAAGCAGGGCAGGAAGAAGCGCAGGGCAGAGGACGAGGCAGGGGCGGCGGGGGCGGAGCCCGCCACGAGGGCCGAGTGGGAGGTGGAAGAGGGCGACGCGCAGGAGGGGCCGCGGGGTGGGCGGGCGAGGGCGGGGCGGAGGAGAAGGGAGGAGACGG